AGGTCACAGGTTCGAATCCCGTTGAAGCCCTGATTTTTTCAGGCTCCTTCTTTCCAATTGCTTAAATTGGAAAATTTACTGCGTTGATCATTCTTCACTTTCATCTACAGCCGCAGTTCAAATATGAATTATTTCATATATTTCATATTATATTAAGCTTGTTATCTTTCCCACCTTTTTACGTGGTACCTTATTACGTATGCCTCCTTTCTCACATTGACGACTGGAAAACGTGTTATCTAAGTCCCGATCCTTGCTCCATTTTCCCGAAAACTTATATGTTCTCTATATAAAGGGGTTTTCAAATTTTTGAAGACAACCGCCAGCAAGCTCGTTTCTAATCTTTTCACCTGGTATGTTCTTTGTTTGGATTACCTCCTAGAACGTGAGGAGATCTTCCGACTATGAACATTTTTTAAAAATTATTATCTTCTCTTTTTGGGGGGGGGAATAACAGATATCGATGAGTGCGCCAGTAGTCCGTGTTTGAACAGTGGGACCTGTACTGACCATGTTGCTCGATACAGCTGCAACTGCAAACGAGGATTTCTAGGAACGAATTGTGAAGTAGGTTAGTGACTTAAACTATTCTTCGAGTTGGCCGCCTTTCGATAATTGCTGATGTTCAAATATCAATAGAAGTAACGTCAAGTGACTTCCAAAAAGTATGTTCGACTTATTATGACATGTACACAGAAAACACTTGAGGCAAGTTTGGTCGACCGGGAAGAATCTCTTTATGAAATCCTACAATAATTTTCGGGAATTTAAATGTTAAAGATGTTCAATGTTATGTGCTAAAACATAATCTAGCATACATCTTGGCATCTTGGGGAGTCTTTGTGCTTCCACTGTGTGTCTCCAAAATGATTGGCTCCATGGTAATCAAACTTGTATAGAATATAACGAACCCAAACCAATTTACCTAAGTAATAAGCACATGTCAATCGATATTTCGTATCACGCATAAATGTGGTCACATTTTTAAAGATAAACCATCTTCTGTATAATTAAGAATTTGTTTTAGAATTATCAGAAGGCTCAAGGATTTATTTAATAAATATCGGAAAAAGATTAAATGAAAACAAGAACTGTAAAGATTTTGGAATACAATCTCTCTAAGCTCTACAAAGTTTCACTAAAACGATATTTTAGCGTTAAGAAAACACCAAATTTTAGTGAAACGCCCAATGAAATTATGGTTGCTAATTAGAGCGGTTTTCAATTGAGTGTAACAAAGCCAAAACCAAACCAGTTACTTACCACTTAGACTACTCAGCCAGTCTCAAATCGTAGTAAAACCAAAACCAAAACCAAAGCAATTTCCTTTCCACACTCGATTGAAAACCGTTCTATAGTTGTCAAGTCATGTGACCAATCAATTGTGTCACCAAATTGTCCCCTGATAGGTTTTAGGTCATTTTAAGTCACAAGGTTGACGACCAAAGCTTCAATGCTGTTAAAGTAAAAGGAAAAAAAAATATATAAAATAATAGAAATCACCTTGGGATCTTTATTGTTTTTATTTTTTTCTTTCTCCTACACTTAATGCAGACCCACTGTCCATTACTGTTTGTGAATCTCAATCAGCGACCATTAGTTGCAACAATGGACGAAAGGTCGACGTTCTGGAAGCGATGTACGGAAGGCAGAACAGTTACACTTGTGGTAACGATGACCTTAGCTGTAGCAGTGCTAGTTCTTACTCTGTTGTATATAGTAAATGCCAAGACAAAGCTAGCTGTTTTCTGCAAGCATATAATAACATATTTGGAGATCCATGCGTTGGATACGGCAAATATCTGTTTGTGAAGTACCAGTGTATAGAGTAGGTATGTAAAAAAAATGCTGTTTGTGCAACATGCTTAGGAACGTCCACTCTTTCCTCGCCTTCAACCTCGTACTTAAACAATAGCCTTCATTTAATTTGGCGCAGAAATATGCTCGGATATTTTTCTGCGGACATTATCTGTTCCGAGAAGCGAACATTGAGTTTTCCGAGAGCGCAGCTTTGAGAACGGATAATGTCCAAAGACATATCCGAGCATATTTTCGCGCCAAATGGAGGAGGCTATTTAACAATTAGACCCGTAGCCCTTGCGGGCTACGGGTCAATAGCCCATTAGGCTTCGCCTCATGGGCTATTGACCCGTATTGAATCACCCCACTAGTCGGACAGAAAAGGTAATGATAAAGTTTGCAAATGCAAGTTGAAGAAATATTTATTTGGGAATAAAACGAAAGAAAGCGTCCCGCTTGATGGCGCCAATTTCGCTACTCGATGACTATTATTAATAGTCCCCTAGTAGGGTAGCCAATCAAAATGCAGGATTTGCATTAGTCCACTAGTTGGGTGATACTAATGTGTTTTATTTCCTTCAAATATTTTTCGCAGCACGCGCGGTTTTTGAAAATTGGGGAGTATCACTCCGATATTTCCCAGTTTTAGCTGGGGAATATATAGTCACGAGACTCGCTTAGACTGGGACTGCAATGTATTTTACATCGACGAAACAAACGACTTTATGAAAGAAAACACTGAATATTTCAAAGCCATCGGGATAAAACGTGACCATTCATCAGCCATTGCTGATCATGTGAAAACCACTGGCCTCAACTTAAAATGGNGGAATAAAACGAAAGAAAGCGTCACGCTTGATGGCGCCAATTTCGCTACTCGATGACTATTACTAATAGTTCCCTAGTAGCGTAGCCAATCAAAATGCAGGATTTGCATTAGTCCACTAGTTGGGTGATACTAATGTGTTTTATTTCCTTCAAATATTTTTCGCAGCATGCGCGGTTTTTGAAAATTGGGGAATATCACTCCGATATTTCCCAGTTTTAGCTGGGGAATATATAGTCACGAGACTCGCTTAGACCAATCGGGCGCCAGCGAAAATATTTGATGGATTATAATCTAGAATACACGCCGCATCGAATCTGTTTCCATGCAAGGATCACCCGAGCCGATCTCAGATGTCAAAATAATATACAAAGCTGGTTTCTGGGACTGCAATGTATTTTACATTGACGAAACAAACGACTTTATGAAAGAAAACACTGAATATTTCAAAGCCATCGGGATAAAACGTGACCATTCATCAGCCATTGCTGATCATGTGAAAACCACTGGCCTCAACTTAAAATGGAGCCATTTGGAGATTTTTAGTCTCGGGCAATACTGACTTTCATTGCAAAATTAATTAAGGAGACTAATTAAAATAATAATAAATAAGCATTTTAAGAGGAGGCCTCCATTCGCCTAGTGGTGGTTTTCAGGAGGTCCTCTAAAAAATAAAGTTATAGAATACATTAAAAGTCTAAACTACAGTGTAGTAATTAAAGCTAAAAGCCGAAGACTACCACTAAGGTTTAAACTAGAACTAAGATTAAAAATACAACTAAGGTTAAAAATGGTTCAGTAAAAACTGTTTCAGTTTGTGTTTAAAAATCGTTTTTGGCATAATTAAGTCTCTTGAGTCTACCCGGCTGCGAGGTCTCATCGGTAATTACTTTATAATACGTTCTTGGCCTGCTAACTCTAGGCAAGTAACCATTTCGAGCATTAAAACCGTGTTGTTGGCTCATTGTAGATCTATACACATCGAAATGTTCGGTGATCTCTACTTTCATTGTGTATTGCAGAAGACAATACCGACACGCTCTGTTTTAAATTCAAGAGGTAGCTAAAGCCTTCTCTGAATATCAGNATTATTGTTTTTAAGCGATCTCCTCTATAACTTCGAAAGCACTTTGTTCGTGTATATTATATATTGTTTGAATTCACTGTTGCATTTATGTTATGACTATTATTCATTGCTTTGTAGCTTCTACGCGCGTTGCGAATGGTTCATTTAGCGGGCCAAAAAATATGTATACAACACCTTATCACGCTCATTAAGAATTTTCCACTGGCAATAAAGGATATACACTATCAACATGAAAACGTTGCCCACTCATAAAGCTAATATGGGGGAATGGTAACTGCGGTCAATATGTATTATGCAACAGAGGGGCCGATGCATTTATTAGTTTGCTTTGTTAAGGGTTGTTAAATTTCACTCAGCATTATTAGCGAACTTTTTAATCTTGTGAGGGAAGATGTGTGATAGTCCATGCTGTTTCACCAGTTTGGCTTTGGGTTGTGTCAGTGTCTGTAGAAAGAGCAAAAGGTGTTTTTCCACCTAAGCGTTTCTCGTGCTTATAGTCCTTAACTGAGTTAAGTATATTCGTGCCTGTACTTAAATGCAGCATTTTCCAACAGTAGCACAAAAGTAGCGCATAAATAAGGCAGAGCAGAAAAAGATCTGAACAGAACAGAAAACAATGAACTTTGCAATTACGAAATCTCTACTTAAATCCCGCTAAAAAAAATCATATACTGCTTTCACCATTTTTCGAATATGTAAGTCGTTCATATTTTTTATTTTTATTTTTTTATTATCACTCTTTTAAAGGATAGATGTACCGCTGAAATCAATATTTGTATCTCAGAAAATTTCCATGGGTATTATATTATTGACATGAATTCATCTCCGTCGGTCATGATTATGTCGATCAGTCATACGAGGGCGGCTAGGATTATCAATGTGTTATGGCATTAGAATATAATTTTGATCGTTATGTTGCGTTATGATCAGTATGCAATGTTTTCTGTTTAGAAATAGACACCATTCTTATCGAAGTCCGAAATGTGGTAGTCTCTTCATGCGTTATAGAGTAACATCCCTTTAAAGACGTGCCGTAAAAAGTTTGTGGGTGTGAAACAAAAATAAGACGAAAAATGGATCTCGCTATCCTCCAGCTTATCTGCTTGGCTTTAATTGACCGCATCAGTTGTACCTCTAAAAACTACGACATGTACAGGTATTCACAATTTCTTTTTTATAACATGCAGTTGGACACGTAAACTTTTTTTTTTAACTTGGTAGTACTGCTATGCTGCAGAGTTGCGCTTTTTCAACTTGGTAGGAAAGGTGCTAAAATAACGCCAAGGAATTATTTATTCTCCTGAAAATAATTTTATTTAGGAAAGTGTAAAAACAAACAAACAAACAAAAACTGACTTATTTGTTATAGTGTATGCCCAATTAACAAGTAATGTTAGGTGTCACATACAAATATTCCACAGTCTTTTACTGACTTACAATAAGACAAAAACGACTATAAAAAAATATTTGTTTAATGTTACATGAAGGACGATATCTCTTCCGTAGTAATATATAAAGTGTGCTTCAATTACTTTGTATATAGCCCTGATGTACATGCATGTAAGTGTTTTCCAAGTGACTAGCCTTCGAGCTGTGTTTGTGTGTTACTTAGTCTTCGGTTTATACAGCTTCCCGGGGGCCCTCCGGTGGGGGAGGTAGACACCGTATCAGTCAACGCTTTTTTTTCCTGAGTGGCCTGTCTGTTTTAAGATTTGAAGCTGCTTTTATCGTTGCAATGTCTAAAGTTGTTTTGAGTTTAAAACTCGTTCATCACTGGGTTAAGGATTTTTTTTAATCAATCGCCTATTTTTCCTCGCTGATTTGAGCGTTCTTCTGGCTTTAACTGTTTAAAATTGCTTCTGTGTCATGAATTGAAAATTGCTTCGCCGCCTCAGGGTTGAAAATAAATTTCTATTCCTTGCATGGAATTTGAGTTGCGGCTTGTGTCTGGAGTTGTGGCTTTGTACCTGGAGTTACAGCTTTGTAAATTATTTCTGTCGCAGAAGCTCGCGAAGTTCAGAGTTGTTTTATCAGCCCGTGTCTGGGTAAAAAGGTTTATTCTGATTCAAAGTTCAGAAAAAATGAGATGCGTTTTTATTCGCAGGGTAGAGTTAGAATTGTTTTCTCCTAACCTGCGACACACAGCAGAGGAATTTCATAGAGAGGAGCAGAGGAGGTTTCATACATTGAATTTAATTGCAATGCCTGGGGATATTTTCTCTCCGTTTAAAAATGTTACTTTGCTCAAGTTTAAGTTAACCTGTGGGAGTTTTTGAACATCTGATACCAGTATCATTTCTGATAATGTTGACAAAGCCAGTGAATGTGGTCTAGCCTGCTTGGAGATCCCCTCATGTCTCTCTTACAACCTGGCTGTGTTCCCCAATATCAACCATAAGCTCCTGTGTGAGCTGCTACCATCTCACAAGTACAACAACTCGGAGAAGTTCATCGCTAGTTCGCTGTTCCTTCACTTCAGTATATACGGTGGTAAGGCTAGTGTTAGATTTGATACAAAATGTTTCATGACAGGAGCAAAGCTTGGCTTTTCTCTATAATCCTACGAAATCCTTCCAGTGGACCGCTGAACTACTTAATCCACTTTGAAACTTCATATTTAACGATAAATTGGGAATCAGGATTCCTGAGCGAGAAAGAAGAGACAACTCGCTTTTTTTAGATAACAATCATAAGAAAACAAAGCACGAAGGAATTTTCTAGAAGCTAATTTTCTATAATGACGGGTTGGTCTCTCTATAAGCTTATCATAAAACAGTTTATTGGCGCCAATAGTTTCAACCCTTTAGGGGATTATGAGTTTATATTGAGACCTCGGCACTCTACTGGAACGATGTAAAAAGAATCCTTAAATTGGCTTGGCTATATACTATACACACTGTACACTCACTTTTTCCTTCGTTTGTACGCACACAGATAGCGCAGATTTACCTTATATTATTTTGAGTCTTCTGTATTTCTAAAATACAGACTACAAGGTCAAATTAAGCCAGACTTCGCCCTGAAAGCTCTAGTAAAATATTTAATTTGCACCTTGAAATGTTATGTGATGTTCAGGGAGCCCATAAAACAGGAAAGGAAAGGAAAAAAAAAAAAAAAA